CGCCTACGACAACAAATAGGAGAAAACAAAGAAAACTATAAAACTCAAGTTTCAAAGTCGTGTGATTACAATTGATGGAATGATTATGAACAATGAATTTTGTTCGAAACTGTGTCATCCAGTAAATAATACTGTTTCACTGTGTGATATATCTAATAAACAAACTAATATGGAATTACTTACTACCACAGTGCCCAAGTTTTACACATATATGTGTTAACTTGAACTGATGCACATTGTTTCATTAAACATTGAAGTACATTAGAATTTAATCTCAAAACTAAATGCATGGCAGTAATCTGTTCATACCAAAACAGGAAACTACGAGATAGTAGATGAAATATATTGTTTATCGTGAGCTGCATTTTCAAGCATAATACTAAATTACGTTTCTGAGGGTGTTTTCTTCCAAATGACCGACTGACTTGATAAGTTACTATAACCAGTTCGACCTTTTTGTACTCAATTATCCGAAACAGGATTCATATAAGCTAGGCTATAAGCCACACTTAATGTGTCATGCCTGGTGATAGCAGCCAGTTGCGCAGGCTGAAGTAGATAGTGGGGTGAGAGTGCAACTCGGAATCCATCTGTTAAAAAAAACAACTGCTTAAGCCAACGAACACTGCACCTCCAGTTCAACAGAGAAATTCATGCGTTATCTTCTCTTAATAGTCAATAGCAATTTCTTAGCAATTTTCAAGTATTGGTTTTGTAGGGATTTTGTTTGATTGCATGGAGGATTTCATCATGAGCTGACATCGGTTAGAGAACCACTGGAAAACCAGCTGGGAGTACTGGACAGCTGTTTCGTCCTAGTTTGGGACTCTTCAGCAGTACGCATCTCTCCACTGCCAGGGTTTTAACCCAGGACCTTCTGGTTACAAGGCGAGCTCGTAGACCATTGAGCCACTGGGACCCGATCCAATGGTCCTTGAATTCTAACTTCTGCCAATTCACGACATAGCACGACCATTTCGCAATGTCTTCTTCTTAGCAATTCCTTAAAGCCACTATCTTTAGACATCATAACCCGTCATCTAGTATGAATACTCTCAATATCATTAAAAAGTATCCATTACCACAACACTAACCAACAAATTTAGTTAACTGCTTTTAAATTGAGTTACTTGCTCATGTATTACATTTGGAATTTGAATACATGAACCATAATTGGTGTTCTTAAGAGCTAATGTGATTCAATGTCAGTGCCTACTCTGACTTCAACTAAGTGAATTGCGTAATTCCCATACTGTGAGTCATAAGAAAAAAAATAGACGTAAAAAGCGAATTAAATTTTCTTGACGATGAATCATTTTCAAGAGCTATAAAATCGTATTTTTATATCTAACAAACAATTCATAAAATCAATGAGAGATTGTAAAAAAAATGGCAATAATTAACCTAAATAATGAAGTGAAGCAAAATTATGGTAAGAGCGTCACTCTGGCCATTTTAAGGTCAGTGAATGTATACACAAACACTACCATCTTTCCATTAGATTTTGTCTATTCACATTGATTAGTCATTTCTCATACTTATTATGTCATTTCAACTTCTACCCCTTTTTCTCATCCCCATTTAGTCATCCTCCCCAAGATTACACCTCACATTATGTAATACATTTTCTAAACTTTAGTTGCCATTATCTGACTGGTTTTAGGAATTCTTTGTTAAATATAAATACAGTTTTTTTTGTTCAGCGAAGAAATTTCTTTTCAACGACTTCATTTTCAAGCTGTACAGTCGTATTTATATTACAGAAAAAAGGTTATTAAGTGGCATTAAGTGTGCGTCGGTGGCATAGTGGTTAAGACGCTCACCAACCATGCACATGGTCCGGGGTTCGATCCCCGGCCGGCGCACTCCTTTACCTCGCTAAGCCAGAAATAATGATGGTGAAGAGGAAAGGTTGGGCATGAGGCTAGCAACCCCATCCTGTAAATAACTGTAGCACTAGCTTGAAGCCCTATGTTCCACTGGGAACGTGAAGGAAATTAAAAAAGTGGCACTAAATAATTGCTCAGTCAATATACTATATATATATATATGTGATAAGAATAACGATAATTAAAATGTTATAAGGGGTAGAGTTGAAGTGGATGAATTACAAAATTATTAAAGATTGTTTAATAAGTGAATTGATATCAAAAATTTTTAAGAATGTCAAGTGTTGTCTAAAAATTTTAAAAATTAGGATTACGATGAGAATAAAGATGTGAAGTGAAGTGAAAAGAGTTCAAGTGGTAGAATAAAATAAAGTAAAAACTAGAAAGAACGTTACTATGACCAAGGTAAAAAAAAAAGGGGTTTGCAAAACGTTTTTGAACACATAATTTAGCTTTCTGTTCATGTATAGCTAAAGCTCCGGCTATGCATAAGTGAAGAAAACGTAAACTTTTGGAGCGATTCGATTTTGCCATGTAGATAACTTTGAAGGATGAATCACGTGGGGCTGAATGACCAGACTCTAACAGGTGATCACAAATAGATGACTTCGCAGTTCTACGTTCGCCTTTCATTAACCAAACCGGATAGTGTTCAGCTACACGTTTTCGAAGAGTACGCTTACAACGTCCAATATAATCAGCTCCACAGGAGCAGGACGTTTAATTTCAAACTTTAGACATTGTTCTCTAATTCACATATGTGTTTTATTGTTTATTTCGTACCTAGTGTGTGTTTTAATTGAAATAAATAAATAGTAACATGCGGTTCACAATCTCCAATGGCTTGTTGTTTGACATACGTGTTACGCATCCTCGATAAGTACTGTGAAGAATTTAGAAATTGCCAAAATAAACCATGAACCTTAACGGTGAAGTTAGGAGTTTTAGGTTGAAGCCATTAACAAAGGTTGTCGATTGCCAGACTGAAGTCATTAGTCAGGTACTCGTAGTGACAAGGGTCGATATCAGTTCAAGATAACACAAATTCACCCCTCTTCAAGAATCGGAATTTCTCTGAACAGTGTTTATTTATTTATCGTTGTATCATCTTTATCAGTTGTATAATCATTTCTATATCCTCTACTTTTTGTGCACAGGTCATTATTTTTCCTGTTGATGGAGTGATCACAACTCCATACTCCATCAACTCTGCTATCCAATTTCTAGAGAAAATCAAAGGCATCCAAATAGATGAACAAGAAATAATGATATCCTTCGACGTCACAGCATTATATCTATGAAAACTGGCAAAGGAGACCATGGAACAATTACTCAGCAACGACGAACACCTCCCACAACAATCAAAAATGCAACACACAAGCTGGATAGAATGCATAAACCTATGCCTAACAACGTACTTCCAATTCAACGGCCAAATATATGAACAAGTCAAAGGAACACCCATGGGATCGCCAATATCAGGTTTGATTGCAGAAGCAGTGATGCAAAGGCTCGAAAACATAATCCTACCAAAGATCAAACCCAAGATTTGGATACGTTACGTGGACGACACATTTGTAATAATCAAAAGAAACGAGTTAGATAAAACTCACAACTTAATAAACAACATCTTCAACGACATCAAATTCACAAGAGAAGAGGAATCCGAGAACAAAATCCCATTTTTGGACGTCTTAGTCAAGCGAACAACCACAGGGGAATTAGAAACCCAAGTTTATAGAAAATCAACTCACACAGATCAAATACTGAATTACAACAGCAACAACCCAATAACACACAAAAGGAATTGCATACAAACACTATTCAAGAGGGCCAACCAGGACTCATTGCAGCACTCCTACCTCAAGGAAAATTGAAGAGATATCTCATGGACGTCTTCCAAAAAAATGGATATCCATGAAATTTCATCAAAAGATATATCCCCAAGGAAAGCACAAAGAAAGTCGCCTTGCCATATATAAAGGATATATCAGAAATCACTGCAAGACTCGTCAAACCTTTAGGAATTGACGTCGCACACAAACCAACAAAATCACTTCACTCAGTTCTATGTCAACCAAAAGACTCAACAGCGAAAGGAGATAAAACCAACATCATCTACAAGATAAATTGTAACAACTGCGAAAAACACTACATTGGCCAAAGTGGACGTCCCCTTCGTCTTCGTATCCACGGACATAAGCTAACCGTCAAAAGACATGACATCCACTCCCTCATATCACTACATACAGACAATCACGGGCATCAATTCGATTGGGACAATGTTCAAATATTAGACAGAGGAAACAACAAAAATGCTAGAGAATTTTTAGAAGCTTGGCATTCCAGTGAATCATCAATCAATAGACACATCGAGATAGACAAAATTTATCAACGGATAAGAAAAAAACCTCACACACAAAGGGTCAAAGAAACAATCAGTTCCAATACAAGTAGCCTAGAAGGTGTGAAAACGCACAAAAACAACCAGTCACGTCCAAGGTCACCGGGAGAGATGATTAATAAACTCGTGGAGAAATCTAAAAGCTCACTTCACCGAATTGAAGTATGCAATGAAGATGTCACCTAGTAGGGTGATGAAAGCTTCGCAAATTAACTATCCAGCTCAGAGAACACAACCACATCAAAGTCATCCACCTGAGCTTTAAATTTTCTCCATAGTAGCACCTTCTTAGTGTCTATGCTTAACTAGGAAGACGTTATCGTACACACTCTTTATTGCGCAATTTGACCTTAGACAGATGATATTAGTTACTGCCTATCCATTTCAGTTACACAGTAGGTCAGACGCAAGCGTGAGTAGCTCATTGGTAATGTCTTTGAACGCAACACTAGGTGGCCTAGATTCGAGTCTCAGAAAGGACATTAGTTTCTTAAAGATTGCAGATACGAACTGATAAAGAGTATCAACGAGCTAGAAACCTAGATCCAAGGCTTTCTGCCCACTGCTCCTAACCATTTAACAACTATTGTAAGTTTTACCACCGCATTACTATCTTTTAGATTTGGTTTTTATGTCATTTTTTTTACAATTTTGTTTATTCTATTTTTGAAAGTAATTAATAATAGAGTTTTTCTAATTATTTTAAGGTGGAAATAATTATGAAGAAGCATCAGAATACATTCGAACACGTTTTGAAAATCTGAATACTCGAAGCGAATCAAAAGATGTTTATTCTCACTTTACATGCGCAACAGATACAAGCAATATACAGTTTGTTTTTGATGCAGTTACTGATGTGATTATTAAAAATAATCTCAAGGACTGTGGATTGTTTTAATATCTTTTAGGAATATAATATTTTTTTTGTTTCGGAAATGTTATGTAACAAGTTTTGTAAATGAGTTTTAGTGGTATATGATCTCTTATCTGTGTATGCTTTCAGTCTGTCTTTTATAGACTTTAAAAATTATCACTTTATCTAAAGTTTACCAACAGCTTCACTTTATATATATATATATATATATATATTAGCAGTGTTAGCATATAGTTACTATTTTCATTAATATCGGTAATTTTTACACCTGAAAACATCCTTGTTTAGTTAACTGTTTTTTTTTCTCTCTAAATGCAATAATTGTAAATATACTTTTGTGTTTTAATATATTCGATTTGTTAATATTTAACACAATTAAATTGTTTTAAATTATATGTGGCTTGATTTTCTCTTTTTTGCCATCTGCAATAATATTGTGACTGGATTTTCTTAGCCTAAGAAGATTTTTGAGTGATAAAAGGATTGTTCACTAGGTAGTAACCATTGTCATGAAGTTTTGCTTTGTGGTCACCAAACTAGTTTAATCATCACGATACACTGTGAATCTATGGTAGATGTGTGTAGGCATTCGGCGAAAATCCTCGGAGCTTGCTTGTTAACACTCATTAGCAAGACATATCTACAACCAAGTAGGAACACATGTCCCCTATGAGAATGTGACCTGCATCACACAGTGCTGCAGTCAAAGACATTACCATCGAGCTATTTGGGGACATGACTGGCCTCCTGTAGGACTGTGATGGGTACTTTGATTGGTCATTAGGTCGTAACCCATGTTACACATCTAGTTTACGGTATCTTGAGTGTAAAAATGTTCAAGGGGACTTGTTCCTTGCACTCTGATGGTTTTTATTAGTCGTAATACTTCATTCTTGATATAGAAACCTGATTCTGTTTTAAACTATTTGACTTACAACGTCCCATTCATTCGCGCTCGTAAGTTATGCTTTCGCTTGTTCTGAATTTAAGATAAGTGTAACTGACATGGAAGTATATTTCATTGTCTAACTGTTGAATGATATATTTGTACTGTAAGTGAACGTATTACATATGCTTTATCCCTAAGATGAACGTTTTAAGCAAGTAACCTTATTGCCTTAGTATGTTAGACAGGTTTGGAAGACTTGTCTGTAATGTCTTGGGGAAACAGAGAAAAATACATTTAATTAAGATATCTGTATTGATACGTTGTCTGAATCATTTAGTTGCAAATGAAATGTATACTGATTCATTCATGCTCGTGGATCTTTCTCATCTAACGTAAGGTTCTCATTATTCCATTAATGAACTTACGTTTTTGCATATCAGCTATCCATAGTGCGAGATTGTCTCTCAACAGCTGCATAACTAAAGATGAATCTCGAAAGCTTTCTTCAGATATGTTGTCCAGTTCTGCTATGGCATCGTCAAATGCCTGTTTTGCCAGTTTACAAGCACGATCTGCTGAATTCACGATCTCGTAATAAAAAATTGCGAAATTCAAGGCAACTCCTAAACGAATCGGATGGGTTGGTTGAAGATGTGTGACAGCAAGTTCATAAGCCTCTTTGTATGCTATTAGGCTGCACTCTGCAGCGTCGCTTTTATCGTTACCTTGCTCAAACTCAGCTAAGTACCTGAAATAATCCGCTTTTCTGCGTTCACAGTTAGTATAGTGTGAGAATGCTTACAGCTTTAGAAAGAAAATTTTTTGTTCGGAAGCTGATTCAGGTCTTGTGAGTCCACTTTCTATGAGTTGTATCATCCTGTGTGACAGATTTCTCAGTTCCTTCTCTACTTCGTCCAAATACAGTTTATCGACATCCACGAATCTCGAGCCTTCAGCTTCACTTTTTTTAACAGCTGCGCTTATGACTTTGATGGCGGTTCTAAGTGGGCCAGCTATTTGTTTGTGCGAAATCGAGAACAAGTTCCTCTCTTCTTCCGTAAAATCCTTTGTTAAACGTGCTATCTTTTCCATGTCATTTACCATATCTAAAATTAGTCAGAGGTATTTTTATTTACCGCAATATCTTGCAGCTTGTTCAGCTATCTTAGCATGGTACAGCAGATCATCACGGTTACTCATTCTGAAGCTGAAATGTAACGCTATGTTTTATTTTGCGATTCGTTCGTAGTTCAAGCTATCGGTACAGTAAAACACGGATGAAATTATTCAATTCATTATATTTGGTTTTAACTTTAAGAACTACATTCTGTTGTACGTGGCCACACATTCATGGGTTTTTTATAGTGAAGCCACTGTTCACTAACACGAGGAAATATTTGTCGGCTGGCGAAGATCAATTGCTTTTTCCTCATATATACTCCTAAATGTACTTTATTTTAGGAAAGAAAGTCGTTGTCATGATAAGAACTCTGCAATATATTAGTTGCGATAAGCGTGGTAGATTCTAAGGTCAGTGCAAAAGCTGCATGATGAAATTTTAAATATGAATGTTAAATGAACAAAGACAATTGATAAAGGAGTTTTCACGACAAATCGTCTTTCAATTCATGCTTAAACAATAACATTTACAAAATTAAATGTTGTTACTGATGGTGAACATTGAGTAGACATTCAATGGACCTATTTATTTGAGCCAGTCTCCTGTTGGTTGGAGGCAACAATCCCTGTCGTGGCTAAGACGTTTGGTCGTTGATAGAAGAACTTTCAGAAGTATTAATGTATATTATACTGACAATATTTGTAGACTTTTTCAGCATACTGAAAGTGACCAACTTATAGAGGTGCCCTATATCTAGCGCTGACAAGAGGAAAGCAAATAGATATTCTCATTTTCCCTTCTGGTTAATCTGGCTGAACAATGCTTCAAAATAGGTCTGAGGATTTGGTAGTACATAAGGCTTATAGAGACTGTCCTAAAGTAAAGAGGAAAAAATACCTAAACAGAAAAATATATTTCATAAATTTTAGGGGGAGGATGCTTCCAGTGACAAACGGCTATGGAGGCTGCTACACAGCACAGGACTCTGAATTATGCAAGGAGTGGGATTAACATATGATAGATCTAAAACAGCTCACCTAGATTCTCGGATTTTAAAAAAGGTACCTTGTAGGAGAGACAAGCGACACAACAATGAGAACTAGATAAATTCTACATTCCAGGAAGAAATGATGAAAAGTCAACTGAAGATTAAGAAATTCGTAGAGGCGAATGAAACTAGGTGTACCGGAACTTCTAAGTTATTCGTAAATTGGTGTTCCTTGTGTCTCTAAGTTGAATTTTGAGTAAAACCCTTGAGTTTTTTTCGCGTCCTTCTTTACCAGGATGCTGGCAAAATAAAGGGAAATTAAAAATACTGCCCACCAGCTTGGTAAGCTTTGTTGGCCAGATGATTTATGAATAAAACAATATGAAATGTTAACTGAGAAACTGCCAGGCTTCACTACTTCCGCAGCAAGACTTTTATTACCTTATTTTCAGTTTCATACATAATTTTGTAACATTTTGCTGTGATTTCAGATATTGACGTTATAAACACGTTCTTCATCCTCAATTTGACTTGTATACACACACCTAACGTAGAATTTGAAAAAGGGGATGTAAAAACTGCGATAGCAGTGATAGACACTTTAGTAACCATTATAACAAAGGCCTCTGACTTCAATAGATGCAATCCGGCTTTGTCACTTTTGAGCATTTCTCCACTCATCACAATACCGAGTTTGGGAGCATTGAGAGCCCAAGGAATGACTTCCAATCCAGCTTCAATTATTATTTCTTCGTAAGCCAATATGTTTAACTCCACTACTTCAGCTGCATCAAACACTGCAGTTTATTGGAACAGGGGCAAGGGAACTGCTATGATGGAGTGTTAAAGATTTGTTGATTGCTAACAAAAATAATTGGTCCTTTCTAACGGTAACTGGGTTATGTATTTTGTTTAACCCGACTAGAATAATATTATGACCAACTGATCACATGAAGATATCCCCTACAATGAGGTTGACACAAAGTTAGACTGAGAGAAAAGACGACAGGCAGCAGCAATGAGAACAACAACCATAGCCACAAAAACAACCTTGACATCCAAATCCAGTAAAGCCTCATCACAACATTCTTTGATGACAGGAATGGGACTTCTTACAGTGAACACAATATCTCCATCGCGAATGGCAACTTGTTCATTCCCTTATAAATTTTCCCTTAACATTATGGAAAATATGTTTCAGGACGTAACCACAACTACTTAATCACTTTTATGAATTTGTTTTTTCAATTAAAAGACGAGTGCGAAGCTTTTGAAACCGATCGATTGGAAATAAAATCCTCTTCACTTCCCATCTTTTCTTCTAATCAATCTAGTTTCGTGGTTGTGGCTGGCAGTGGAATCTTCGCCTGAATATATTAATAAAATCAATTTACAGACAGCAACACAAAATATTGTAGTGCAACACTAAATACGGGGAACGAACAAGATTCAGGGAGCATGATATGCCATAGTTACAAACATACAGACTGGCGACTAGTCCACGAACTCATTCGACTCTGTCAGTGGGATGACTATCTTACCAGTGACTCCATGGAGGCTGTGGTGTCCCTATTTTATAAGAATGTTATCCTTTGTCTAGATATTGTTGATCCTAAGAGGGTAGTGAAATTAAGTAAGCACCAAGCTGAATACATTCCAAGGGCATACCGCAATAAGTTGAGGAAGTTAAAGAAACAGTACTATTCCACTAGGGATATATCACTACTGCAACCAATCCGCGAGTCTCTTGAATCTATCAAGCGCTTACGCGCTCAAAAGGACCTCGACGGAGAGTTAAGTACCCTTAAAAGTGCCTCCAAAGTTTATAATTTTACAACACTCAACCGAATGCGGTCGAAGAGGGAAATACCCTAGTTACTTCACGACAAAGTAAACTAAAATGAACCTGCCGCCATGTGGGAACTCTTCAGTGCGTGGTTTGCAAACTTTAGTTTAGAAACGCTCATGCCTGGTGAAACCGCCCCCATTACAAGCTCTTCCCTCAGAAGCGTAGTGTTCACCATTCAATTAAAAGAAGAAGCAGATAAAAGCATTAGACCTTCTACTAGCATGGGACCGGATGGCCTTGCTTCAATAATTTTCAAAAACAGTGGGTGTGATATACCCCTAACACTTCTTAAATTCTTCTCAATATCTATGGACACTGGCACTAACTCTAATGAGTGGAGAACTAGCTTCATAATTCCACACTACAAATCTGGTGATAAGGTAAACGTTCGCAATTACAGACCTATAAAAATAGCTCTAGTTGTCTCGCGAATCATGGAGAAATTTGTCAAAGATCAATTGTCAGACTATCTACTTAGGGAAGATCTTGTTACAAGGTCTCAACACAGATTTCTCAAGAATAGGTCTTGCGTTACTTGCCACTTCGACTTTTTCAACTGCATCATTAGTAGTTGCGAAGCTCGTAAGCTAGTCGTTGTTCTCTACTTTGATAAATCTAGGGCATTTGACGTGGTATCTCACAGTATTCTCCATAAGAATCTGTACTCATGTGGAATTCGCAATCCATAACTGAACTGGTCAAAATCGTTTCTAAGCAACAGGGTACAAATAGCCAAAGTCGGATCTGTGTTGTCCCATTCTAGACAGATCTGGTAGTATGTTTTAGCATGAAATGTAATCACAACTTATTATTATTGTTTCCTTTAATTCCTAAAGGAACATAGGGCTTCAGCCGTGCGTCTCCACTGCCTTCGGTTCTCTGCTAGAGTCTTCATCTGGCTCCAAGTCTGCCCACGCGTTTTCATCTACTCTTCACATCACCTCCTCCAAGTCACCCCCAGAGTATGGCCAGCCAATCCATCTCCATTTCTTCCTGCCAGCCTATTTCTTTCACAATCGGTTCCTGCTGGTTTGGTTCGCTCATTGCCAGAGATCACTCCCTGTTGCTGATCTTTGCTGGCCGGCCATCTCATCTTGAGCTAAATATTGAGCGAATACAACTGTTAATGAAGGTCTGTAGTTTGTTTGAGATGCTGTTTATGACACGCAGTGCAAGTCTCTGATCCATCCGTATAGTGAGTAGCACTGACTGAGTTCACATTGGAGTTGAAAATCCGGATCTTATCTTCGTTTTGATGCTGAGTAGGGCTGTTGACCTCCACACAGACTTGAGAGTAGTGAAAGCTTGTCTTGCTTTTCCGATCCTCGCTGCTTTGATATCCTCGTCAGTTCCGCCTGTAGTTGAAACGATGCTTCCCAGGTAGGTAGGTAAAAGAGGTTGTTTCTTTCATGTTCGTTCCATTTATGCTGGCTGATCGTTGTCTGTTGTTGCTGTTGGTGGTGTTTCTCAGGAATCTTCATCACCTCTGTTTTCTCTATGTTCACCTGAAGTCCTATCTTTGATGCTTCTTCTACCAACTTGTTGCTTTTCGCTTGCATATCTTCCAGTTTGTGAGAAATCAGACATGTATCATCGGCGAAGTCCAGATCCTCCAAGTTTTTCGTGCTCGTCCATTTTATGCCTGTTTCCTCGCTGCCCACTAGTTACTTAGTGTATCAAAACAATCGTAGTTCCTACACATTATATAATAATATATATTTATTCCTGTTTATGCAGGAACATACCAATTGTACAGGCATGGATAAGTTATTATATAAATTACAGTTTGTTTGTTCAATCTAACATTAGAGTCAGTCAGAACAGTCTGCAAAATAGTCTGTCTGTGTAACACATAAAGAGATATAGAAATATTGTCTTCGCATTAACAAAAAACCCAGACTTCAGATGAGTGTGATACAAATATCTGGGAAAAATAAAGCTTGAAGTCAATTCTCCTATAAAACTTTGTTGTGAACAGCATCCGTGAGATAAAGTTTATTGATGTATTATTTTGATTCAATAATGTATTTATTCCATTTTTGTCAGCAGTCTTATCGTAGTTTTATAATAGGAAAGAAATTTCATCTTTGAAACGAAAATTAGATAAGGTAATGTTAGATTGATTTACTGCATCAAATGGGATCAATACAAGAACTATCCATTTGCGCCATTTGCGTCAGCATGGCAGACTGTACATGTAAGTTGAGTAATTCATTGAAAACTGCTTGAAAACCAGTTGTTTCTTTATTTCAGATCAAGAAT